TTGTCCATATGCTTGCAAGATTTGATTCGCTTTAATAATAATAAAGTCTTTTTTTTTTCTTCAACAGTACGGTAAGACGGAAAACCTAAAAAAAAAACTCGTTTCACGCGCGGAACTTGGGAGTTGTCTGTCTGTGAGTGAGGCGATAGACTTCAATTTGTTTCTCCTTCATTTACTCAATGACCGCAATTGAAATCAGTGAAGAGGAAAGAAAAGTCATGACGTCATCAATGAAATGCTTCAAGGGTTTCATCGAAGTGAAATGGCTCATTTGCCATTTTTGTCGCCCTCGTCCGCCCATTGTTCCAAAGAGTTTTGAGAAAAGGGAAAAGGGTGGAGATGACCTTGTCTCGTCAAAATCAGGTAAGGAAAGATAGAAGGGTGATCTCTCATACATCAGCCAGCAGATACTGGATTTTAGTCTAATGCTTGCAGATAGGATTTCGCGAGTTTCAGATGGGACTTTCTTGCTGGTTTTTCCCCTAACCTTCTAGCCAAAGCCTAGCTTCTAGCCAAAGCTTATCTACTAGCCAAAGCTTAGCTTCTAACCAAAGCTTAGCTTCTAGCCAAAGCTATGCCTAACCCTTGCCACCTTTAAACGAATAACTGATATTCTTATATTCTTTCATTTTTCCTTTTCAAGAAGACCGGTTTCTCTTTTTCTTTATTTCTTTCTTTCTCTTCTTTCTTTATCTATCCACCTTTCTCTTCTCATTCTCAATTTTTTTCAATTTCTCCACTTTTTCCTAAAATCATCGTTATTCTGTTGTTTTTACACCCCTTGGTCACAATAATTCTGCTGATATAATCTTTACATCTTTGAGCAGTTCATTGTGCAATTAGGCTTTGTACAATTTTAGCCAGGTACAGCTGTACAAGCTGATTGATTGATTGTGTGCTTGTCTAATGATCTTTCAAGCAATGCTTAAAAAATTAGCAATGCTTTAAAGGAATTCTTGTGTTTTTTTTTTGAATCCGAACTTTCTGTTTTCAGTCTTTTCCAAACAGTAAACCTTTTTGAAAGGATAAATTGAGATTTGGGGAATAAATTGAAAAGAGAAGAAATCCATCACAAAGATCGCTTCCAAAAACCACTCCCAACTCAGCGAAAAGAGCCTAAAGTCTTTTATGATCTCACTCAATTGTACACTCAAATAAAGCCTAGATTCTGGTTTATTTTGAGAACTAATAGAACCGTATTGGAACCATACAGATTCTGATACAGATCTAATTAACAATACGGTGAACTGACTGAACTTTTACCTTTACATAACATCTTAAAGACTCAAGACCGTTAAGTTTTGACACTTTTTATGATCTTTGTTGTATGTACAACTTTTCAACACTAGATTTTAATCAAAAAAGAAAAGAAAAGAGTTGAAAGTTCATCGTCCTTTTCTCCAATGATTGAAGCTTACACCTTTTTGGAGAGAAAAAAGAAGCGGCGAGTACAGTTTATTCTCTTTTTTTTCCCACTTTTCAAATGATTTCGATCCAATTAGACGATCCGAGAGGAATGCAAGCATCTTCTTCTTTTCTTTTACTTTATTTTGTTGGCCAAAGTTTGACCTCATCTTTGCTATTTTATTGAAAATTTTTTCGGCTTTTATTTCTTTTTATTTCTGGCATTGAGCTGTGCATTTTGAGCTAGAGATTGTCTTTTTCAAGCTTCAAGCTTTCAAGCAGAACTTCTTTACAAACATTGTAGACTTGTGCCAAAGGTATTTTTGAAATTTCAAGCTGATACAAAGCTTGTGAAAGTCGAGAGAGAAACTTTCATCCTTTTTCTTTGCTCATTTCATGGTCCATTTCCGATGCTCGTCTTTTTTTGTTCAGCTTTTCTTCTCCCATCAGCTTTTCTTCTCCTTTCAAAGTCGTGATTTCGGATCCATTCAATTCCATCACATACAAATCCATTGCCAAGGAAAAAGCTGCTTTCCTTCAGAGCTATTCAATCGTTTCGATCTTTCCTCTTTTTCCTTCAGATCAACTTCCTCCTTTTTTCCTGCTTTGTCCGTTTTTAAACGGTGATGAATTCTAGATGGTCCGTGATGAATTCTAGATCGTCCGTGATGAATTATAGATCGTCCGTGATGAATTATAGATCTGTTCGCTATAAATTCTAGATCTGTTCGCTCGAAATTTCGATTCTTGAGACTAGAATCAAGTTTTTAAGCCCAGATACAATATGTGCAAAGTTTATTTGCACTTCTCAAGTTTATCCACTTCGTTTTAGACAAATGCAAATTCTAGCAACCATTCCAGTGTTTTACTCTCCATTTCTCTTCATTTATTTCTTTTCCAAATAACCTTTTCTCCCTCCGATCGTATCTATGCCTAATTTTTGTTTTCGTCTTTCTTTTCGGGGTGAAAGTCAAGCATAATCTGGTTTTCGATATGAATCATCACAAAAAAAAGTGTCAACTTCAACAAACAAATGGTTTGCGTAAAGAAAGGCAATAGCTTTAAGCGGTTGGTGAGATGGAATGGTTTCATTTTACGCAAAACTACGGCAATAGCTTCAGCAAGCGATCAGAGTTAGCTTTAGGCTATCCAGAAAGTCTTTTCGTTTCTTTTTGTACTTCCATTTAAAATCAAGAAATGCATCAATTAAACTACTCGAATTGATCTCGAATTTGCTTTAAAAAAAACGGAAATTGAATTGAGAGAACTGAAGTTGAGAATACAATACTCCAAATGATAAAACTTTTGAAGTTTCAACTCCATTCGAGTCTTCAGCTTCAGCTCCAGTTAGTCTTCAGTCGATCGTCGATAAGAATCAGTCTTTCTTTCTTCTTCTCCTTGTCTTTCCTTCTTTCTCTCGACCAGTTAAGGTACCAGAAAGCTCAATGGTTAGAGCGATTGACTGAAAGCGATTGACTTAAAAACTGACTTAAAGATTGGGAAATTAAAGAATAAACACTTCTTAGAGAAATTAGAGAAAACTATAGGTTTTATTTTAGAGAAAACTATAGATTATTTGATGAATCTATTATTTTTCAATGGAAATACGAACGAAAAGACTTTCTGGACAACCCAATAAATATCTTTATTTAATATTGAAGCCTCTTTCTAAAGTTACTCAATCAGTGAAGGTTAAACTTTGAATTTCTATCAAAATTCACAATCTCGAATCAAAGCCACACGTGCAGATGAGCAATCCCTAAAAAGTGATGTGTGAAGGGAAAAGGGAAACAAAATGAACACGATCCAGTCCAAGAAAAGAAAGGATGTGATGGGGAGGATTGGATCCCCCATTGGATCCCCTTGTCAGGTACTCCTCTCTCTTTTGTATTTCCCGTGTCTTCCATGTGTTAGTGTTCCCTCTTGTTAGCCTGTTGCAAGTGAAATAAACCAAAAAAAATCTTTCTTTTGATGTTTTTAACTCTTTGGCGAACGTTTCTCCATGTCTAAATCAGAAAAAAGCCTCCATTAGCCCTCATTTGAAACCGTTGAAAGCTTGAAACTTTTTTCTTCGAAAAACTAGGAAAATATATGGGAAGACTTTGTCGAACGGCTTCTTATAGTCTTGAGATCTCATTCTTGGATAATAAGGTGGTATCTAGATTTCTAGATCTGTTTGTTCTTATTCGTGTCTTACTTACCTTACTCTACTTTGTGTCTTACTTTGTGATATCATACGAGTTCTGAATATCATAGCTGTTGCCCGATTCGATAACCATTCTGAGCACAGCTTACTTGTAAAATAAAACACTTTAGGAAACTCGTTTCATTTTATGAAAAAGAAAAAATCGTTTTATGTAACTTAACATAAAAGGCTTGACAGCAGGGGGGAATCGAATCGAACCAGCACACTATCCCCTAGGCCACTGGGCTGCTTTTCAGGGGAAGTAAATCGGCGCTATAGCGTGGCGACCTCGATTTTCTTCAAAAGCGTTCTCCTCGGAAGTTTTGGATTAGTTCAGTAAAATTAAAAACAAGTGTCTTTTAAAGCTTTGAGAGGCCGTTTTTGAGCGTTGAGCTTTAAGCTTTTTGAGTTTTTGAGCATTTTCCAACTCGATAGCGAGTTAAAAGAGTTCCCTAGTGAGCACAATTTACTTCTAAAATGGTTACTTTTCTATTCTTTCTTTGTGATTGTTGACTTCTATAAGAGTGTGACAACTCACCTTGTACCTTGCTTGTCATCTTCCATCCATCTTCCATCCAAGCTACAAGCTTTCAGCTGAAAGTTCTCATCTCTAAACTTTTCATTTCATTTTTCATCGCCAAGAAATTGAAAATTGAATCTCATTTTGATTTTCAATTTTCAATTTTCAGCTTTACCAATCCTTTGTTATTGAATTTTGGAAAAGAAATGAAAAGTTTTAAAATAGCCAAGCCTTTGAATAGCCAAGCCTTTGAATTTATTGTATAGACGTATCCTTTTTACATCATTCTCAAACAAACAACTTGAGTTGCTTTCTCAGCAATTTTGTGTTGATATTGGATAGGAGAGTCAGTCTGAAGCAACAACAAGAGCTACAGATCACTCATTCACAATACACGAGACTTTCCCTCAATCGAAAACTATTCAATAGTCGACTATTGGTGTGTGGAGGGAAAAAATGGAAAGTAGGTATGATTCTCGAGAAGAAAAAAAGACTTTTCACTCTTTTCTTTCAGCAGACCTGTCAGTCGTTTTTGATCTGAAAACTGAATCGATTTGAGACTTTTTTTTGAATAGATCAAAAGAAATTGAGAGTTTCATTTGACAAGATTTCAAGATTCAAAAGCTTTTTTATTGTTTTCAATTGCTCGTTTTATTGTTTGCGTTTGCTTATTGAACTTTTTAATTATTGTCTCTCGTTTCTTTTAATTATTGTCTCTCGTTTTTTCACATCATAATTTGCACAAATCATTCAGAATAACAATCAATCAATCAATCAATCAATCGATCGATTCGAGACAACAACTTTATTCTTCTGTCAATTCCCTATAAATTGATCTCTTTTGTTTTTATTTGAAAAGAAGAAAACTTCACTAAAGTGACGGATTTTTCGATGAAATCGGGGAAATCCCCGTCGGAATGGGCTCAAACCCTGAAAGGATCGTTTGAGAAAGGACAAGTCAGTTAAAGATAAAGATGATTACAAGAAAACAAAACATTAACATTAATCGGGATGGGCTCAAACCCTGAAAGGATCGTTTGAGAAAGGACAAGTTAGTTAAAGATAAAGATCACTACAAGAAAAATAAAAAAACATTATTAATATACCAGTACTAACATTAAGATATCTATGGATTCGTTTCCAGGAGCATTTCTTCCGATGGCTCGGCGCTGTCATCGGTCGATCTCCATTTATCATTCTTTTTCTCTCTTTTCTAGTCACGGGTAATTGACTAAAAGTCAAAAATAGACTAATACCCAATTTAGGTCTTTTATCTTCGGGTTTATTTTATTTTGAAGAAACGTCAAACGTTCGCGAGGCTTATTCTCCACAAGATTCTCCATCAAGAAAAGAATATGAGGTGTCCAGAGAATTCTTGAATCAGGTAAATCAGTAATTCATCTTTTTCTAAGCGCCCATCATTTGTTAAAATGCATGTTTAGTATCAAAATATAGCTAAGATTTGGGGCTATCGTTTGACATCTAAGCGCACCTTGTAGCTTAAAACAGCGCTGAGAACGAGGCGCTTAAAGTTAGACTACGTGACGCTTCGGTTGTCTGCTTCGGCTGTCTGCTACCCAGTTAGTAGACGTTACAGTAACCCATAAAGTCTCTACCGTAATCAGAAAGATTGCTGTAAAATCAACTTGAGATGGAAAGCCTAAAGAAGAATGATGAAGCCTATAGTTCTTCATCAGGCAACTTTAGAATGGTACTCTTGATCCATCGTACATCATGATTGAAGCTCGAGATCACGATAATTTACTCAAGGTACTCAAACTTTCCTCATAGTTTTCAAAGTATCTTTAGCCCGAATACAGAGAAAGATTACAAGAGTTGGTCAAATTTCTCCAGAATAATGTCTCGATTGAATATCATGGAGCCGAATGGTGAGTGATCTTAGAGCTTTTGTTTCACTTTAGATGCCCGTATTGCTGTAAATTCTCTATTTTTCAAATCCCAGGTTTTATCGAGATCTTTGTGAGCCGTATTGTGAGCTGAACACGGCATTGTTGGCTTTTCTCAGGCTTTACGATCCGTCGAATCCATCCACGTACACCTATCCAAATATCGAGATTTTCGGGAGTCAAGCGTTTATTGGTGACGATTTTGAATTTAAATTCATTACAAAAGCATTGGAAGTTATAGTTTTTTAAAAATTTTGACTCAAAAAGCTTCAATAGCTGAAAAAGCTGAAGAAAACGGATTAAGCTCAACTCTCAAAGCTTAAACAGCTTTGAGAAGAAGATTGAAAAATCATTGAGTCAAACTACAAGGTCAACGGTTTATTCTCTCTTACATTTTCAGAACACTTCAAGTGTTTGCAATAAGCAATAAGTTAAAGAAGTTTTGCAAAAGTTCAAAGCAAAATTCCAGGCAATAATGTCTACAATTTGAAATTGAGCGATTCGGGCTTGATCGAGTCATTCTCAACAGCTATTCTCCCATTCTATCTCGTTTCGCATCATGAGGATGAAAAAGTCAGTACTCAGCTATAAAATAAGCTATGAAATAAGCTATAAAATATAGAAAATTATCTAAACCTTAAATCCTAAGTACATTAGCAATCTTTCCATTTTAGGTCATCTACAATTGGCTCATTGAGGCGAGGAAAGCCTTTGAACAGCCACAATTCGCTATTTTTGAGGTAAGCTGATAGAATTAAGAACAAATTAATGATGAAAAATGGAAAATTTTAGTGTGGAATCACTGGAGATTTACTAATCTCGGCTGAGGTTCGACGAATGGGGCTCGAAACAGCTCCACTCATCGTCGGATCGGTGGCAGCAATGATCGCCTTCGTTGTCGCAAGCAGTTTCAGGTAAATCTTTTAACTGTTAAGAATGGCAGAAAATGCTGCAAAAATTAGTTTTCTGTTCTTCAGTTAAATACCTTTTTGTGCTTTCTCGTACGATTTCAAAATGTAAATGTGACGTGGTCAGTGGCGGGTAACCTCGGGAAAAAAACCCATTCATTTTCCAGCCATTCTTCCTCATTTTCAGAGGTGTATATGAGAAAAAAGGCGAGTCTCTTTCTTGTGAGGTGATAGGTCTCTCTTTCTTTCTCTTTCTTTCTCTTTCTTTCTCTTTCTTCCTCTTTCCCCTGATCTCCTTCTCATTTCTCTTTTCTTCATCAAAAACTGATCGGTGCTCCCATTCCAACCTCTCCTTTCAACCTCTCCTTTCTCCTGTTTTCTTCTTCTCTTCATACACAATGGCAGCCAAAAGCCACCACCAAAAAATGGGCAAAAGGGTGTTAAAATTTTATTGGTTTTTCCGGGTAGAGAAATTTTTCCTAAAGTTTGAGGACTGAATTGCAAAAGAAAAGTGACAAAATGATTTCAAATTTGCTGGGTTTTCAATAAACAGAACTGAAGAATCGGAAACAAATAAAGCTTTTGATATTAAAAAGAAAGAGTTTCCATTGGAATTTAAACTCTTATTCCATTGGGATGTTTACAGAAGAGATCCATCTCGATCGAAGCCATGGGAATCATTGTGCGGCTGTTTGATCCCGTTGCTCTCTCTACTCGCCGCCGCTGGAATCATGTGCTTCTTTGAGATGAAAGTAAGTATTTCAGATCCTAATCAACCAATTCAATGATGAAGAAGAGCCAATAAAAGAGTAGGAATTTTAGAGTAAGGTAAGTAATAGGAAAGAGTCAAATTTTCCTGTCAAAAGCGTAACCCAATTACCTATTACCTATTCAGTTCCAATCGATCATGGTCGCCTCTCTATTTCTCGTACTCTCTGTTGGGGTTGATGATGTCTTCATTATATTACGGTACATTATCTATTATCATCAAAGAATATCTAAAAACAAAACATGTAGAGCCTGGGATCGCACGTCAACAGATGATCCAATTCCTGATCGTATGGCGATCACCCTGGAAGAGGCTGGCGCGAGTATTACGATCAGGTACCGAATGCAAGATCAGCAATTAATACTTAATACTTTGACTTATTATTACTTTGACCTTGACCTAAGCAATAAATATTCAGTTCAATAACGAATGTGATGGCGTTTGTGATCGGTATGACTTCATCAACTCCGGCGGTTAAAGCTTTCTCTTTGTTCAGGTAAAACCTTGAGAAGAGTTGAATGAGAAACGAATTCAAAATCCCATTCTATGGTTTAGTGCTGTCTCGATCACTGTTTGTTATTTCTACATTCTCATCATGTTCTCTGCAGTTTTGGCCTGGTCGGGAAGGCGGGAGAAATCGGGAAAGCAGGCTGTTCTTTGTTGCTTGAAGGCAAATCGACAGGTAAGCTTTTACCTACTGTAATTATCCTATCCGAATTACCTACTGTAATTATCCTACCCTTTCTAGGCTCGTTCACAACTTGTTGAAGAAATGGTCGCTATACAAGTTCGAGTAATTCGGTGGTGGGCAAAAACGTGTCTCACTTGGACCTGCAGGTAAATAGATTGCGGTTGAAGTCTTTCTGTAATCGATTATTTCTAGAATAGTACTGTTGATTTTGATGGCTTTGTACTACTATCTCTCGGCGGTGGGAATTCAACGAGTGGAAACGTTGATCTCACTCGAAAAGATGACTCTACCCGATTCATATGTACAGGTAGATTTTAGCTTTTTAAATACTTTCCAATCCGCTATCCATTTTAAAATTTTCAGAACTTTCAAAAGCACTTTGAAGACGCAATGCGAAGCATGCAACCGATTTCAGTTTTCGTGAAAAATCCCGGTGATCTTCGAGATCCGAAAAGATTGGAAAGTAATCTCGATTCTGACTCAAACACAGAAATATTTGAAATATTTAGCTGTCAAGAAAATTGTTGACGAATTCGAGACTACAGTAAACTCGTATGGGCCAAATTCGACGTTCTTTTGGATTCGACAATATGAGGATTTTTTGGAGGTTGGGTAAATTGAGCAAGACTACAGGCTGGCTCACAATTATAGCTTCATTTCAGAGGGCCTAGATTGGCCAAAAATGGGTCAAACGTTTTGATTTTTCTGGAGGTAGATCTTGAGTGTGTCCCCTTTAACGTTGCCAATTATCTGATCGATTCAAGCTTTCAACTTTCCTATATGCCCTTTCAAAGTTGAGAGCCGAGTGATGGGATTTTTGAGAGTAATCTTTTCGTTGAATGATTGACCCAATTTTGATCAATCTAGACCCTCTGAAATGCAGCGCTATAATTGTCGGTCATTCTGTTATCCGGAAAAATACAAAACTTACAGTACTACGTCGACAGCGATGATGAGGAGGGAAATGTGAAACCGAAGTTCACCTACACCGAGATCCCCACTTTCTTCCAGGTGATCTCGCAAATTTGAATTTGAAATGATCCCCAAATTTCAGTCAGCCACCTATTTCTATTTGGAAACTTTTGTCAAATTCAACTCCACCGCTTGTGATGATGATTTACCCGATTGCATCTCCGAGTTCTTCTTTATGACCAATTTTGCCGGGGTAATGAAATAAAGCTGTAACATTAAAGAAAACCTTACAGGTGATCAAATATCACGAGTTGATTCCGGCAGTGAAAGCGTGGAGAGCGATCGCCGAGAAATATCCCGACTTTGGGGTTTTTCCTTTCTCCGATCATTCGCCATTTGTCGATCAGGTTAGTATAAAGAGATTTTGAGCTGAAGCTGAGATGAAGGAATTCAACTTTGGTTTTCAATTTATAGACAATGGTTATCGACTCAACAGTTTGGTCCTCGGTGGGCGCTTCTCTTTTGTGTACGGCACTTGCTTGTGTTCTCTTCATTCCCTCATTGTTCTGCGTCATTTGCGCCTGTTGTTCGGTCCTCTCAATCACTGGTTTGAGTGCTGTTGTTAAAACTAAAAATTTTGTTTAGTTGGAATCGTCGGAATTTTAACGCTATGGGGAATTCAGCTGGATCCTTTGTCGATGGCCGGTACATTTAGCTAACAATAACTATAACGACATTCAGCCCAGTGATTAAGAGAGTCTATGCGAGTTGTTAGGATCCTGATTTTGAAATAATGCATTTTCTTTTCAGCTCTTTTGATGGCTATCGGTTTCTCGGTTGATTACACAGCCCATATGTGCTATCACTATTACAAAGTAAGCTGAAAAACTTTCTTTAGTTGGCAAAATCATTCAGGCAAAACCACTAAATGCTGTGGACAAAGTCGAGGAAGCGCTAACAACAATTGGATGGCCACTAATGCAGGTTAAAAATGAAGCCATTAAATGAATAAAAGAAAGTTTCCCAGGTCGGATTCTCGACTTTGGTTGCGCTGGCTCCACTTGTTTTCAAGCAATCCTATTTGGCGATTGTTTTCCTGAAAACTATCACCGTTGTCGTGGTTCTCGGAATGTGGCATGGATTGGTTGTCTTACCCGTTATCCTTGCAGCCCTGACCAAGAAAAATGATGGTACTTGGACTATATAACAATTTACGAACAATATTTTAGCTCCAACCCCTTCAAGTAGTGATTCGAGTGAACGCTCCTCCCAACGATCTCATGAACGAAAGGAGAGTATCTATAGAACCCAGGTAAATATCAAAATGCATCAAAGCATAAAAACAATTTAGGCCCTAATAAATCGATTGCACAAAGAATTCGGCAAAGGAGCAAAAGTTGGGGCGATCAATGAACCACCAGCGCTTTCACCGGAAAAAGCCTGTGAAAAACCAGCTTTTACTCATAGGATAGCTTTAGGAAGAACCAAGTTAGTCTACAAGCTTGCTTATATTTGAGCTTAAAATTTAAATCAAAACTTCAGATCATCGGAGATCATTGATCAAGCAGTCGCTCAACAACCACTTCCAACCATCAGCCGAAATTTCTAAAACTACTCAAGCCTCTTTTTAAATGCTTGCAATCATTGAATGGGTTATAGCAATTTCATCTAGTGTTTTTGTGTGTTATTTATTTCTGTGCTCATTTCTTCTTTCTAGAGGTCAATGATCTCATGTGCATGCTTTCCTTGAATTAAATCTCTGTCTGTGAAATTTGAAGTGCCTTTATTATAAAAATTCCGAGGTTAACAAAACAAGGCAAAAATATTCCAAATTCCGTAGTAGAGATCACAAATTGATGAAACCGTTAAGAAAATCACCCATAAAGCGAAAAAAGCTATAATAATCAACAACAGTTCGACTCACAGTTAATTTAATCGGCACCATCAATGATTTCCCCCTCTTCCAGTGAACATTGCGGAGGAGTCGTCTCTTCAGTTAATGACACTAAATGATAGATGATAAAGCATACAAAAATCGGCACTTGACGACTCAAAACGTCAACAAAAATCGGTTAATGAAAATGCATCCACATAAAAACTAACCTCTATCATTAGAATCGTGTGTTTTGGGCGTGTTTACTTCCGGTGAATGGCTTTGTCCCTTCTCCTCAGGTTTGAACTCTTGTTCCGATTCTTCCGATTCACTACTACTCGATGCCTCTTTTCCTGAAGACAAAATATGTATATAGTAGGACATAGAAATTTTTACCTTCAAGCGCTGCCAAAATCCGCTTCTTGGACATTACCTCCAATTCTTCAGTCACTTTTTGAATAAGTTCTTCTTTCGTCCGATCCTAGGCAAAAAATTATTTAAAGTGTGACAAAAACTTACAATCAGACAAAATGGAATCATGCTTGCGAGCTTGCCTGCATCCAAACAATTCACGGCTATCTCCGCCAAAAGATTTCGCTTGTGAAGCAAACAGTCTAGGGGAACGGTGCTATCTAAAGACAACCATTAAATTTAATATTTTCAATTCTTACCTGCATCTTTTGGTTTCGGAGGGAAATCTCTGCTTCGTTTTTTAGTCGGCTTTGATGATGGAGGAGCTAAAGGCAACATACATTGGATAATTTCCTTAAAAAAATAGGCTTTGTTTGGATATGTTTGAAAAAGTAAAGTTGCCCCAAAATAACCGTTTAACAGGAAATCTACTTGCGAAATCACTCACATGAACTTGAAGTGCTGACACTGCTGCTGCTTGGACTCCTCTTCGAGCGCTCTCTTTTTCTCGATTTGGTCGTCTTCGATGTCTTGTGTTTCTTTCGTTTCTCGCGCTTTTGCTTTTTCTAAAATTTAAGACTTCAACATTAAATTTAAAAATATTACCTTAGCTACCTTCATATTTGATGTGTTTGCAATAGAGTCCAAGGGGTCTCGAAGTCGATCTGCCTAAAGCATCGCCATAATATCGTTTGAAAAAAATAAGACTTGAAAATAAAAATTTTTAGAGTATTCATGAGGATAAAATTCAATAGATTTTAACACTATTCAATTAAATTTCATAAAAAATTAAACATGTTTACGTATGATAAAAATTTTGAGAAAAAGGTGGTATCCTAAGGGGCAGCACGTCTCGAAGTTGATCTGCCTAAAGCATCGCCATAATAGCGCTTGACATAAATTTAAAAAATAGAAAAACGAAAGACTTTATTTCGACTTTAGGTGTAAGTTTTAACGCCGAAAATTGCTGAAAATGTACTTTAAGCCTTTAACTATTTCGAAAAATCGTTGGCATGTAGACCTTAATTGTTTAGCTGAATATCTTTAACTTGCTTCTAGTGGTTTAAAAGAGTTAAGTCGAGCAATTGTTTATTTTTCGAGTGCTCTAGAATTAGCCAATCTTACATTTTTACGCCTTTCTGCTTTTGTCACTGTTTCTCTTCTCTCGTGCAAAAACCACACTTTCCCCTCCATAAAGCGCCTATTTACATACCTGTCCTGTATTCGAATCCTTTCCTCCAAAATTACTCGTTGAAAAAATGGTAGTGAACCCTGTGAAAATTTGCTGTTGTTGTTCATTTTGGCTTTCTTTGTTTTAAAAGCATACTCGGGAACTTTTCTATAGAAAGTGGCATGTATTGTATACCATTTGAAAGCTCTAATTCTGAGCATCATTAATACATTTAAGATTTTTTTGGCCAGAGCTAATTGTTGACCCTTACTGGCCTTCGGAATGAGCTCACCGCAAGCACCCCACGGCGAACTGCCATTTTTCGTGTTTTTTTTTTTTACATAAAATCTGTCCAAGAAAAACAGGAAATACGATCAAATTCGTACATATTTTATCAAAATTGATTTAACTCAATACTCTAAAACCAAGAGGACAATCCAAAAGTGCCTCAGATAGCAGAAGCAGACATCCTGAAAAATGGCAGGTCGCCGTGGGGTGCTTGCGGCGAGCTCATATCGAAAGCCAGTAAGGGTCAAAAATTCTTTGATGTATTAATGATGCTGAGAATTAGGGCTTTCAAATGGTATATAGAATACATGCTACTTTCAGTAGTTTTTTCGGAAAAGAATAGATTTCCAAAAACTGATTGCCATAATTTTGGACCCCCCTTAAGAATGCCTGCTAAGCCTGCCGGCCTTGGGTATACAGCGCCTACCAAAAGAAACAGCTGAGGGTGACGCTGAACTGTCCGAAGACGAAGAATTTCAAGGAAAAATGGTTATTCAAATTAATGGAATATGCTTTCTTTATACGAAGCAAGACTTTACCATTTTCTAATCCTGCATTAAAGAAGTTTTTGTTGCTTTTTAACGAACTATTAGTGTTATTCAATAATTCATTAAAATCGTATTTAGTTTCTGGAATAGCTACTAAAACATACTAAAACATGCAATTAAAAAAAATCATCATAAAAAATTTAAACAAGTCTTGCATCACGTTACATATATAAAAGATAAAAATGAAATAATCTTTATTTATACCATATCAAGGATAAATTTTATTCAAATCAAAAACAATAATTCTTAGAACAAGTCACAACAAGAAGACTAATTTTAAAGAAATCACTTCATTTAGGCTGCAAGCTTTGTTTCAGTAGGCGAAAACTAGAATAATATAAATGATGTAAAAGAATGTTTAATTAGAATTAAAATGATACTTACATATGCATCATCTGGATCATCCCAATGAAGATAGCTAAAACTAAGAACCGATGGAATCATTCTCGTCTCAGGATGGGGATCGGCCAATCCTCCATCATCAATTCTTAGATCCGACAAAGGAAGATTCGTCTTCGCGACTAAGCTTCCGATGAAGCAACCGTTCGTATCGAAGATACCAGAACCCGAATCGCCATATCCTCCTTGCGAAGTACCAAAATAATACCCAGCTAAAGTTAATTCAATTATTAAACGGAATTTTAGTAAAATACAGTTTAAAAAATAATATATAATTTCTATAATATAAACAGGGCATTATTGAAGAGCAGGCCCTCACTGGAAGTTGAGGGGTTTCTTTTCAGGCTTTCTTGCTTTTCTTTCTTTCCTATAGATATCTTTAAACCCTTAGAAATGGTGATTCTAAGGGGTTGTTATACGAATGCAAAAGAAAACTAACGAGGGAGCTATAACTACTTACCATCTCAGATCGACTCCAAAATTATAGGGGGGAATAAGCATCACAAAATCAGAATTTTCTGAAATTTTTAGCTGCCAAATGCTAGAAATAACTGAAATATAAGGTTTCAAAGCTTTTAACTTAAAATTAAACATTTTTGGCGATTTACACAACACTTTAAAGGGAACTCTCACACATACCGGAGGAGTAGCCGGATGTCCGAGTGGTTAGGGACCCTAGCTGGTAGACCAAAGGTCGCTGGTTCGACTCCCTCCCTGTTGTTCTTCTGCTTTTTGGTTTGGCAAACCCTCTTGGGTTCGAGTCCACAGTTTCACTTTTTTTAGACGTAGTTGCTCTTCATTTCAAATACAAGTCTTTTTCAAACTACTTCTCATAAAAATGATTACTTTTAACTATTAACATTGCACTACCTCTAAAAAGCAAAAAAAAAGTTAAACTGTGGACTCGAACCCGAGGGGGTTTGCCTCCTATTCCAGTTGACTACCACTGTTCTTTATTGTCTCTGGGAAATCTGCTGGTAACCTCGAGGGATGATTTTTAAAATTCCATACCAAACTTCACAGGCTTATAACTTTTGACAGAGGGATGTTCGGTAAAACCGGAAAGCAGATTCGGATCCAGCGTGCAATTCTACGTCGGAAAATATAGGGCTCGTGTCTATGGCCACCCAACCCTGATGACCTTCCCTTGTAAGGAGGATCTCAATCTTCAATGGGGGCCTGTTCTTCAATGGTGTC